ACAAAGACCTGAACTGCCTCATGAAACCATATACCACAGGTCTCCAATTTTCAATTCCCAAGACTGAAATATCAGCACATTACAAAAAGCAGAGTTAAAACGTGTCCAATAAGCATTACTGCATTACTGTTTTACATTTCTATAGAATCTAATATCCAGTATTTAGTTATCACCCAATACACATCACTGTTTATGTAAAGTTAGACCTGGGTGTGTGGGTCAAAAAGATTAATCTACGCAACAGAAGAAAACAAATGACTCGCGCACGGAAACAGAAGGCCAGACAGGCCAGAAAAGGAAAAAGCTTGGAGCTGAGATAGTAAAATTTATTGCTAGTTACTGGTCAGAAAGCATGTTGACTAAAGCTTTGTTTTTATATCACTGCGCAACACCTGCACTACGTGCACTACGTCTGGATAATAAATTTTGATATCTCAGCTCCAGTTTTTTTTTTTTTGAGGACCTCTGTTTTGTGTGAGTAGTTTTTCTTTTGCTGTGATGTTTCTAAAGAAGAATTTGTTATACTGATGACATGTAAGAACATACATCTGAGTATGCACAATTCCACAATTCCATGTGTTAAGATACCTAATTTTATCTCTTAAAAAACAATCTTTGTATCTTTGTGTAATTGCCTATGAAGCACTTACTCCTACTGACTACAGCAGAGACTGTATAATCTCATTTCTTAGATGTCACAGGCAAAAGGCTTTTCTAATTCTCCTTTCATTAGGAGAACTAAAATACTAGGGCATGAGCTAGCAGGCTGATATGACTTGACGTCACAAGCATAATTACACTCATACTTGAAATAGATTCTGCATGAACTATTTCTGTTTCGTGCATCCCATACAAGTATCTCCAACCTCAGCTCTGGAGCCATGAGCTGAGAATCAGTCTCTCATATAGAAGCACACACAGGTAATGACCACTTCACTGACATAAATCGTAAACTATATTCAGTTTAGCAGCATCAGTTTGCTTTACAATATTTAATATTAACAAAAGGATTTAATTCATAGTTAACATTTTAAGCAGCAGCACAAATACAGCTAGTTTAAAACCAAGTAATTGGTTTTAAATTACTTAGTCATTTAAGGTTAGAGACAAAATAGAAATGCAGATAAAGTGAACTCACAAATTAGCAAGCCTCCCACCCAGCTCTTTCCAGTTACCCTCATTTAGGGTCTCTGAAATATTAATTAATCGCCAAAAATAATTCGCTTTAAGTGGATTGAACTGAATCTGATTAAGCTGGGCTGATATCTCTCCAGCTGAAATAGAGTCTGGTTCAGTGAGATGATAATATATGAGAGCATATTGCAGTGTCATGACTACTCTCCCGAGTAAACATGAATCTGCATTGCTAATTGATTTCTCCAAATTTGCCTAATCATAGCAGGCAGAGTCATCATCTGAAAAATGTTTACAGTAACTACTATGGTTATGCACTTTTACACATGGATTGAAATAAGTTGCAGCAGAGTGGTATGACGGAGTGGAAGAAGCCAATAGCCTTTTCTACCAGCAATGTTAAAAACTTAAAGGAACAATGAGTGAGATTTTTTTATTGAGATTTTGCTTGTTATTTGCATATTATTGTCTCTATACTGGTCACATGACTTACCAAATGGCTTGTTATGATACTGAAATAAACAAGATTGTGATATTGCTATGCAAAACTGGGCATCACAGAGATGTGACAAATGCATTCTGGAGAATGGGCATTTTATTATTTATGCCAGTGTCAGTAAACTGTGCAACAACTTCATCATAGTTATCTTAATTCATAGTTGTTTTCATTCAAATTTTTGTTACAAATATCATGAGAAAACTGAATTGTGAACCTAGTTTCAAAAACGGAATCAAATCATGGATGATTGTATGATTACACTGCTAACTGTTAGACATTATCCTTCCAGGCGGTTTCAAGACGTTGTCAGGCAAATCTGCGTAAAATGCCTATATCGTTCAGTGCCGGCTCTACCTAATAAGCGACTTAAGCAGCTGCTTAGGGCTCTGTTGCCACCTGGGGGTTCCCTAACAACTTCTGAGTTGTGATTGTACCATTTTGTTGTCTAATATGCTTGAGTGAGTGAAAAAGATAAATCATATCTCAAAAAAAGAACATATGCATCTGGAGACAAAAAACAGAGAACAAAATAAGAAGATATTAATATTAATATTAATTAATATAATTATTTGTTTTGCCTTATAGTTGGACAACAAGAAGTAGTGGATCCAGAGTCTGTAACCTCAGACAGCTTTCTGACTAAGTTCGGCTTCACAAAACCTAATAAACACAGATGCGGTTAACAACTTTCTCTATTAAACCAGGTCTAAATACTCAGCCTGTGATTAATCCTCATGAAAGCGTGATACTTATGATAAACAGTCAATTGTGTGAAACATGTGGAGGAGTCATCCAACATTTCTTTTGAAATAAAAGGTATTTATATAGAGTTTGCCCTCCTTTGCTGCAGTAACAGCCTCTACAATTTTAGAAAGGCTTTAAACTAGACGTTGGAACATTTCTGTGAAGATTGGATTGCATTCAGCCACAAGAGCATCAGTGAGATCAGGTGCTAATATTGGATGATTAGTTCTGGATCACAAATCCCACTCCAACTTATCCCAAAGATACTGGATGGAGTTTCATCACTCCACAACATAGTTCCACTGCTCTATAGCCCAGTGATGGGGGGCTTTATACGCCTCTAGCCCACGCTTGGCATTGGGCACAGTGACGTTATACTCATATGCTGCAGAGCATCCCATTCTATTGCAATGCTTTGATATGGAGTTAAGACAAGCTGTGTGTGCAATTAAACGTGTCAGCAATGGGTGCACTTTAAAAAAAGCTGAATCTATTGATTAGAAGGGGCACTTGGATACGTTTGGGCATATACTATTTTTAGTAGACCCAGAACGAAGGGAAAGAGTCCTTTGGTCACTATGGTGTGTCAGTAAACTACTATACAAGCAATAGAAATATAATGACGTGACAAATATACAGCACAGTACACAACCAAATATTTAAAAAATGCTGCCATAACCCTGTCATAAGCACTCCGCAACATTCCAAAGTATTTTGAAAGCTCTAAATATCCTCAACTGACTTGTTGCATGTAGTAGCATCTCCCTAGAATGCATTCTGCCTAAAATTTAAGCCTATTTAGCTAAATTAAGTATCAGAAACACACACATAAAAAAACACTTTAAACTGCAGCTACCTAAGGCATCATAACAAGTTTAGTGCTTAGCTTGGCTCCACTCCAAGACTGGAATTGCTGAAGTGTTTAGATTTCTGGAAGTGTTTAGACTGAAAGATACTGTTCAGAGATTTGTCAGTATTAAAATAACGGTCAACCAGAAAAAAAAAAAATTTCCGCTTAAACAAAATGTAGCCAGTGAGCCAAGACATGTTTGATGTTTGAGGTTTGTTTCTTTAGCTTTGCACTGGAGTTATGAGGCTAATATAACAGAAGTTCATGTCACTAAAAAGGATTCTGGATGATTCAGACTTGTATTACTTTTCAGCTACATTAGCCACATATAGCTTCAGTGCAAAGCAAAAGACACAAACATGTCTTGGCTGATTGACTTCATCGCTGAACCGTTCCTTTAACCAATTTAAAGCAGAACATCTACTCTAGGTCAACTTAAAGGTCCCATGTTCTACATTTTTCTTGTATTTGATTTTTTTTTTCTGCAGAGATCTACTTGGGATATTTGTGTTGGTTTATATAGCAAAAACAGTCATAAGTAATTTTTACATGATCATTGTTCAACCACTATATGTAAATGTTTGTTTTTGTGACATCAGTGAAACAGTTAATTAAAAACAGGCTGCTTTTGTATCTTAGTTTCCATATATGAACTGAATGGACTGGGGATTGAAACTTTTTTTATTTCAAAAAAGGGAGAAAATGGGGGGTTTCCATGATGTGGGCCCTTTAGGTAAAGTCAATTGGGTCAAAACAAGTAAATAAAAAGAAATAAAAAGTGGAGTCTCCCTGACCTGACACATCTTACAGCAGTTGTCATGTGTCTGTGTGGATTAAAACGTACAGAATTGCTCATGTATTTATTAATTAGTTTTTTCCCATTACTGTTAAGCTCTATCACCTGTCTGCAAAGCCCTTTGAGGGCTTTATATATATATATATATATAACATTTTCATAAAACGTCTTTTCCCCTCCAGTGTGTCTGAGTGTCTGTCTGTCCTTCACCATCGTTATTACCACAGTGCATTTGTCTGTGTGTAAAGTCAACTGGGTCAAAACAAGTAAATAAATAGAAATAAAAAGTGGAGTCTCCCTGACCTGACACATCTTACAGCAGTTGTCATGTGTCTGTGTGGATTAAAACGTACAGAATTGCTCATGTATTTATTAATTAGTTTTTTCCCATTACTGTTAAGCTCTATCACCTGTCTGTAAAGCCCTTTGAGGGCTTTATATATATACATATATATACCTGCCTGTGACACTCAGTACTGAGGCTCTTGATCAACTGGATCAGGTGTGTTACAGTTAAGCTGGAACTAAACTCTGATCTCCAGCAGCAGAAGAAGCAGCAGCAGGGATAGCCAGGCATGCATTGTGTAATGCTATACATTATGAAATGAGACAGACACCTTTCTCAAGAGTTGTGAGTAGCTGGCTAAACGTGTTAGCCGTTTTATGTATATTTCACCTTGTCACATGCATAATGCAGCTACATCTGGAGTGCTACAAATCATGTGTGCACGAGCGTGGTAGAGTTTTAAAGCATCAAGATACTCCCATTTATTCATTAGCATCTGTCCCTTTACTCCTTCTTCCCTCCGTACCACCCCGCCCACCCCCTACAGGCTTTGCCCTCCCCGTATCCTCACACACACACACACGCACACACTGCTCCTACCTCACACACGGTCTCCTGCACGCTGCAGCAGCGTTTCTCTGACTGTGTGAGCGAGAGACAGAGACAGAAAGAGAGAGAGAGAGAGAGAGAGAGAGAGAGGCAGTCTGTTTCTAAGCAAAGTGCCTCGAGCAGGAGGAAGAAGGACAGCAGGAGGAGAAAGAGGAGAGGAAGAAGAAGAAGAGGAGGAGGAGGAGGGGTGGAGGAAGAAGATGTGCATTTCCTGAGTGATCGTCTCGCGCGGCTGCCTGCCTGGCTGAGAGAGCGCGGGCTCAGCGCGCATGGCTGTCCGGCTCCGCGCGCACTCTGCCTCCGCCGTCAGCTCGTGGGCGCGGGAAATGGCGCTGCACTGCTGAGAGCAGGAAGACAGAGAGAGAGAGCGGGAGGAGGAGGAGGAGGAGGAGTAGAGGAGCGGAGAGGAGAGGAAAGAGAAGAGAGAGGAGAGGGAAGAGAGAAGAGAAAGGAGAGGAGAAGCGAGCGGAGCTCAATGATTAGGACGTGCGCGCTTCTCTTCGCTAGCGGATTTCAACAGCAGTACCATGGTGAATTACCAGAAATACATCACTGTTATGCAGCTGGCCTTAGGTGTTACAGCCATCAACAGAGACCGTAGCCTGCCTCCCAGAAAGCATATGTGGTGAGTAGAGAGCAGAGAGAGCGCTAGTGCGGGAGATGGACGTGTGTGTGTGTGTGTGTGTGTGTGTTTGGGGTCGTAGCCTCGTTACTTAATAACAGCGGGGTCGTGAAGCCAAGGGGCTCAATCAGCAAAATGGGCTCTAGCTTTTAGTGACAAACCGCATAGCCGCTAACACGGAGCCGTAACGAGCGCAGCAGCACACACAGGTACAGTATCTGTACAGTGTTCGTGTGAGTGTCTCTATGTCTACGTGTGTTTTTCATGTAGCCTAGCTTACCGTAGCACCAGCAGGTAACTCCTTTATGAGACATTTCCACCGATTTTCTGCTTAATTATATCGTTACGATGTAAACAAAGTCAGTCAGAGTGGTTTGGTGTGAAATACAGTCTACAAAAACTTACCAACTCAGGATTGCTCACAGTGGTGGTGATAGGAACCAGACGTCTGAAGAGTTTAATGCCTGTAAAAGCCTCCTCACAGAAAGTTATTACATGAAATGGTTACGAATGGAAACTTGAGACACAGTTTTACCAAGAAAGATTTTCTCTAAATCGTTTTTAAAAATCCATTCATAATGCACATGCAAGACAAAACAGTCCCTAAAGATTTTTTTTTTTGATTTACCACTGTTTTATCAATATCTACATTATACACCTTACATAAAAATAACTCTGTAACGCTGTTACCACCACTGTAAAGAAATCGTAGTCTGTAAGTTTCTCTGCAATGAAACATTTTTTATCAGACCACTCAAAGTGACTTTGTTTATATCTCAACAATTGAATTATGCAGAAATTTTGAGAAATTTGGTGGAACTCTCCTTCAGTAATGTTACTGTGCTGAAGTAACCTGTGATGTATTTTATGTCTGTGACATTGGAATCAAGTCAGTCCAAGGCACTGCTTTCTTCTTCTGCTTTTGTGACTGCTGTACTTTCTTTCTCTTCTTTATTTACTCATCTGCTCTCCATTCATAAATCACTCTCCTGTTATACATGACCATCTCTTCATTGTTCCCAAAAATGATGATCCAAATAAAAAGGATGTGGTGTGAACATGTGCTTAGTGTCTGTGTATATCACCTGCTTTCTTACATTTTATTTTGAATTTTATTTTCATGAAAATATAGTACTTCATTTCACGTGTCTGTTTCCAACATTTTCATAAAACGTCTTTTCCCCTCCAGTGTGTCTGAGTGTCTGTCTGTCCTTCACCATATTTATTACCACAGTGCATTTGTCTGTGTCCCATGCTGTCCCTGTCTCACTGATTAATTTGCTTAACTTTGGCATTCATGCTCTTGGGTTAATTTTCCATTAGGGGCTCTCTTTTAATTGTGGGTGGTGTGCCTCCAAGGCCTCTGTGTGTGAGAAGATTGCGTCTGTAATCTAAGCAGGATTACACTCTGGCTGAAAAGAAAACAGGGCAGTTAATTAACCATCAGTGGCAGCCACAGAGATGTGGGGCTCTCCTTCAACATGGCTGAGGAAGGTGTTTACCGTAAAGCATCTTCCACAAAGAGTCAAAGCATCGTTTTCTACGACAGCGTTAAACACAGTAAAACTATTTTCGTTCCCCTTCTGTGAGCTAGACTACCATTCTGTGCCCTCTTTTTCACCAGACGGTGGTCTGTTGTTGTTATCTGTCTATTTGTGAACTCTTTTATCTCCAAAAGCAGTGGATTCTCTGTATCAGCGCATTAGTAGTAGGGAACTTGATGCTATCACCTCTTAGAAATTCATGCCCTCCGTGTCTAATATGTAAATGCTATCGCTTAATAACCATCTCTTGTTATAAGATGAAATGCCTTTATCTCTATTCCACTCATTACATGCATGAGCTTGAAATAGAACTGGGAAATAGTGAAGAACAGCCTTGAAGCAGCCAATAATCAATTATGGGACAAGGCTTACTAGGCTTGCATGAAATAGCTAAAATAACCTTCTCTTAATAGTGAAATATTACAGTATCTTTGGGTCGTGTGTGCAGATTGGTTCAGTTGCTCTGTGGCTTTCCAGGATATTTTTAACTCAAAATAAATTTACTAAAGTGATGCTCTAAGGTGAGGGGGCGGAAAGATCTTTCTGGATCACTGCTGTTGCGAAGCGAGGGGTGTCTAAGGACTAGTAAGCCTAAAAAAGAAAAAAATCAGAAAGAAAAAAATGTTGGTTGAAATAATCACCTTTAAAATATTTGGAAATTCTGTCAACAGATTGTCTTCGGTCTGTATGATGGATACTCAACATTGCAGGCATTTCATGGTCTTTGTGAAATAGCAAAGAGAACATTCCTTGGCCAAAGCATTTATGACTAATCAGAAGCAATTCATAAAGAAAATTAGTTTCTCTTTCTGTTTCACCAAAAAGCATCATCACCTTTTTCATTTTTCCTATTAGCTTCAGGTCAACGAGTTCACTTAACGTCAATATTTGAAATGCCTTTAAAATTAAAAGCAGGAAAACTCAAGCTCTGGTCTGTCCTGTGCTGGAGGGGTATGTGCTGAAACATCAGAGGGTCACTGAAATCAACCAAGCAAGCAAACGTAATTTACGATCAAGCTGAGGTTGCTAACATGACGAACCCCAAATAGCTGTAAAAACTTGCCAAATCCACATCAGTCTAAACTGATGATGAAGCACTTAAAGCCTGCAGAGAAGTACTTGCAACAAGATGTGCAGACGCTGGCACTCAGCTTGTTTGTCTGACTGTTAATTATTCATGAACCTAGAAACATGGCATCACTAGTGTTTTACAGGAAACTCATCACTTCTCTGTTGTAGCAGGTCAGAAGCAACATAGATATTAAAGGCCCCATATCCTATATTCTTCTTGCATTTAATTTTCTTTCCCCTGAGGTCCACTTGTGTGGGTTTATATACCCAAAACAGTCAATTTATTTAAGCATTTTCCAAATGTATATTTTTGTGGGTACATTGGGTTTTGTGACAAAGTTGAAAATGGACTATCTTTTAGCTTAGCTTGCATATAGCTGTTAATTCTGCATTTCGGAATGTTTCAGACAGTGTTTACCTAGTACATCAAACTAAAAACTGAAAAAAATTGGTTTTATATTATATGAGCCCTTTAAAGAACAGTAAAGAAAGCAAGATTACAGTACCTAAACTAAACAACTGCGCACAAGTTCTGAATAGAAGATGATGAAATGTACTTTTTTACAGACAAATCTGGACCACTTTCACCACTTTTGCAAATAAACAGCTACGACAGCAATCCTTAATCATATATTAGCGGTTCATAATCACATGCTCCTAAATTGCTTTGCCACTCAATTTGAGCGAAGTTGAATTTATGTTGTTTTGAATCTCCAGCAGAGAGCGTTTTAACTTCTCCTCTTTGAGAGTTCCTACATTCGGTTTGTTCCTAGGTGAGCCTCCCTGCCTGGGGTTTTTTATGTGTCCACTTTCTACCAGAGGACTTCAGAACATCCAGCCTGGAAAAGAGGTAAAGGATGTGCACACAGGTGGAGTGTCCTGAAGGAGCATGTAAAGTTCATCAGAAAAGGTTGCAAGGATGTTCAGAGGAAAGCCTTAGAGAAGTAGAGGGATTATTCTCAGAATAGAAGCAAGGTAAACAGAAGATTAAAGGAAATATTAAGTGCACCGTGTCATCCTGGATATAGTGAGCAAATGACAATAATACCACTGGTTTCAGTGCCAAATGCAACTTTAGAGCCTGTTCAAAGTTGCAATTGTTGCCTCATAAATTCAAAATGGAACTAAATCTGAGCTGTTCCAGTGTTGTCCATTTCTGGCCGGTCCTGTTTGTTCTGGATCAGTGCATTTAGTGCAAATGGCTTTTTTGAAAGCTTCAGCACTGCTTGCTGAGTGTGAAAAAAGGCAAAAATGTGAGAGTGAAGCTGTTCTCTGAGTCATAATAATGCAGCAGATGCTCTTCTTCCCTACAGTCCTAAAAACTAACCAACAGATTCGCTTTAACCTGGCGTAATGAACTTTTAGTGCCAGTTGTCTATCCTGAGGCCTTCACACGTGCTTCTTAGTATTTACACACTCGTTTCACCGATGTGTGCGTATGTGTGTGTGTAACTGACAAAAGCAGCTTATCGCGTTTCACGGTTTGCATCCTTCAGTGATAGTAAAGTTGCATGAAGCGCTGATCCTCAGCCTGCTGGCATACGCTTCTGTGTAATCCTCCAAAGCAGCGCCTGCAAATTTCATCTTCTGCGCTTGTGTCTGTCCTGTGTCTGCTCACCCAAAACTACTGTTTACTCCATTAAGGCCCGAGCAATTAACCTGAAGTCAGTGTCTGGAGGTGAGGAGAATGCTAATAGGCCCGCCCACCTGTACAGAGCTTGTGACCAGTAAAGGCTGAATACACATGACTGCACTGGTTCCCAATGTCCTGTGCTCATCCAGATCCAGCCTGAGGGCTATACTGCTCTGTCCAAGATTAGAGTTATGGTAATGCTTGTGATTATGGCAGTAGAGATAGTGCTGAGAGTGGTGCACGGATGAGAGAGTAATGATCAGCCTCCTGCACGCTGTTAAAACTTTTGAACGAAACCGAGACCAGTGGCATGGAACGTAGTGGTACGCATCGACTTGCTGATTGAGCAGTATCTTTCATTGCTCAGGCTAATTGTACCTGACGGCTGTGGGAGGCACATAAGAAGAGGTCAAAGGACTGCACGGATGACCACAGATCATTATTGACTGCCTCTTGTCTTCTGTTTGTGCTGTAATGACGTTAGGCATCTGCTTATGCTGTTGTTTGGACAGCTATATCAGGCCTCTCAGCAGTGGCGTAACTATGGGAAGTGCAGCTGGAGCAAGCGTACATCCGGGCCCCTTAACATTTTACTGGACCCCCATTATATAGTTACTTATAGAATTTAGCCCCTTAAAAGGCCAGGGCCCATCTATAACATAAGAATAGCTCAACCAGTTTGCATTGGAGTTTCTGTAGTTACTGAATAATAAGCCTTAGTATGTAATAAGCCTGGGATTTTAAGGGGTTAAAGATAATCTGAAATCAAAGTGTTTTTTTACATAAAGCAAAATTCAGCCTGTATCATATAGAAGACAACGTTGTGTTGTGACTTGCCTTGAGAATGTCTTCTGATTTTTGATTACATCATCGTGCATCAGTGGGCAGAGAAAAATAATATTATAATATCATGTTTCATCTCCCCCTCCAACAACCCCCACCTATCACTGAGCAAAAAATGCTCAGCTAGCTCAGAGACCCGCCTTTATACCATGTCATGGTGTTGAATAAAAAGGCATGATTTTCCATTTACTTTGACTTTAATGTTATTAAGTTATAATTTTAACATAATACTATATTTTCACCATTATTCTACATTAGTGCATCAAGTTTGTTGAGGCATAGTAATAAACAAAATGTTAAAAAAAGCATTTTTTTGGTAATTTTTTAATTTTTTAATTTAATTTAAGCAGTTTTTCATATGAGGGGCTCATTAATGTTTTTGCGCTGGGGCACAAAAGATCCTTTACACCACAGCCTCTTAGTGAAATAGACACATTAGCGTCAACACCAGTACTGACAACACTCACTCACTCACTCACTCACTCACCCACTCACCTTAAGGCCATTTAGTCAATATATGTGAAATTTCACAAGGGCATTCTTGTACGTGCTCTTACACATCACATGCCTTACCTTCCAAATATAATGTATCGTGCTGTTCCTGAACCCCCTGGTGCTTTTAACGCATTCAACTGAGAAAGGTAACCTGAAGGTGAAGCTGTTCGTTTCCTCCTCGGGTCAACCTTCCTGTCAAGGTCTTTTTGTCCCAGTTTCTCTCTTCCTTGCTCCCATTTACCAGAGTAAATCATAGCAGAGCAGAGATGATTAAGATGCTTTTTTAATTCTTTTTTTCATTTTCCGATGTTTTTAGGAATCTGCCATAGCAAACCAGGAGGTCTCCTTAATCCGCCACTTAATATGTAAATGTATCCCCCGATTCATCTGAGCTCCAGCCAGTGCATTGAAACAGAAGATTTGCTTTATTGAATTCTGCTTTCCAAGGCTTTTCAGCAAATCCTCTCACAACATAGTGTGTCCTGATATCAAGGGGAAAAGTAGCACTACAAGGCACTAAAATCACAACCCTACTGTACAAGGAGAGCATAAATAACACTTAGCCCTGTGGTGTAACAGTTTTAGGAATTATGTAATAACACTTGCTTCATTCTGTGCTCTCTTTTTGTTCTAGTTTAGTGTTCAACTGATATGAACATTTTGTAACCAATATCGTTACAGATGTTGAGGCGCAGGAAGCTCAGATAATTGACATTGACCGATATGATTATATATTTATATTTTACATTTTAGAGTAATAGTCCAGTAGTTTTAGTTAAACGGTGCAGATGGCAGACATGATTATCAGTTCTTAATTATCACATTTCTGAAACTCAAAAAGTTTTAATTTACAGTCTTGAATAATACAAATATTGTAGCACAAGGGGCAGAGCTTCTTCATAGAAAAAAAATCATGCTAAACCAAGTATTGTGTTCAAATGTATCTGTCCATGTTAATGTGATATAATTAAATTGGTAGAGTTTGAATCCTTGCAATTCTATGATGGATGGATTATTGGCAGTATTTTTGGTATTATTAGCAAACTGATATCAGTCAGGTTCTATTCCAGTATCATTCAAGTCTCAATCTGTTATGAAGAACAAAATTCTGAAGTCTTTTTGTCAGATCTTGTGTGAAGATGTATGAGGCATACAGTTCTCTTTCTTTTGCCATTGTCCTGACAATAAAATCTATTGGCCTATATATATTACTGTAGAAGAATTCTCAGTGGAGTTCTGCAGCAGTGTCACCTTCTCTCACTATAAACTAACCTGCGTCTGCAGCATCCTAATTTGTCTTTGTGCACAGTATGCCATATGTGATATATTTTGCAAGTGGATCTTTTCTTTTAGATGGTGATATGAGTGATTCAGCACTGTTCTTCTACTATTATTATTGAGTCCATGTGAGCTCATGAATTTCCCATGAATAATTCATGCATGGGCTTGTGTGTGAGATGCTTTGAAGTCTAGACAGAGCAGATGTGACACAAATTATTGATGACTGGGATTTAATAAACAAGTTAAAAATGACTATGTGTGGTATTGGTGTGACATGAAAATTGTTTAATATCATTGATTATGACACTCTTTCAGTGGAGTGTGCTCAAGCAGCGCATAGTGCAGGTTTGTTTGATTTTCTTAGGGGTGTTTGAGGTACAGTATGTAAATCCACGTCCCCTGGGAGCTTGTTATGTAATATTATGCTGCCAGTTTTGCTTACTCTAAGTATTTACGATATAATGGCTGTTTGTTAATACTGTGGATGCTAATTGTGTGTGTGCGCCTTCTGGAATGTACACGCAACGCCAGAAAATATCCGTGAAATCTTTCTCAATATTATGGCATAAATCGTAACTTATTGTGCGCTGTAAAATCATGTATATTGTATAGTTGGTATACACAATGGCAAAAAAACACTGCTGTAGAAAAGCAGTCAGAGATGACTGTTAACTCAGGACCCCAAGGCACTTCACAAAGTGTTTTCATTGTTCAAGCTGACAAGCCAACAGCATCAAGATGGGAGGTTTATAACTTTGTGTCCTATGGGGATTTTTCCCCTTTTAAAGTAATTATGCACAGTTGGTCCAAATACCACAATACTCATTGGGCCGCAGTGACTTTAAAAGCATAAAAACCCCCTAAAACATCTTTGTATTCTTCTGTCTTATTTATCTTTAATCTCTTGCTTCCTCCTTTGGTTTGTCATTCAGCTATGCCTACAGTAATAGATGCTGCTGTATATTAGCCAGGCACTGTATATTCTGAAGGCTCTTCCACATTTACAGTAGGCTACTGTAAAAATCTTTGGGGGGATGTTGTCACTAGATAAGCAATGCTGTGTGTGGTACATATGGCTTTTTTGCTGATTATAAGGCATAAAGTACATTCTAACAGGATGCAGGAATATTGCACAGTGTATGCAGTATTTGGAGATATTTTCACAATAAAAACTTTCGCTTTTATTAATGTTAGTGAATAGACAGACCTAACCAATTTTATTTTTATATTTATTGTATATTAATGGCATAATATGATGATGATTATAATCTGTATAGGGAATTACAATTTAACCCCAGTGCGCCCCAAGTTTTATTTTACACTTATAACCAAAGAATAGCTCAACCAGTTTGCACTGAAGTCCCTGTTGTCAGTATGTAATAAGACTGGGATTTTAAGGGGTTAATTGTTCACACAATTACTTTATTGACAGTGTGTAATGTCTAAGTTCATTTATTTTCTCATTCATTTTCTAGTCAGCCATTAAGCACAAGTTATTCATTTTTCAGGAGATATTTCTGAGGAGTTTAGATATAAGATGATCCACTTGCATGCAGAAGTGTAAAGACAAAAGACAATAATTAAAAAAAACACAGAAGATTATAAAACTGGAGTTCAAAAATCATTAAAACATAAAGAGCAAATGGGTCTCCTAACAACCATACCAGACCTGGTAGACCACCAAAACTGTCACCATCAGATGAACATAACTTAAAGCTTTCATCTTTGAGAGAGAAGAGAAAATCAAGCTCCACTCTTACTTCAGATCTAAAAAAAAAACGTTTTCTGTCCATCCTTCCACTGTGAGAAGTGGTGATGTGTAGCTATCAAGAAAACCTTACTGAGAAAAGAAAAATAAACAAATAGGGAGAAAAATCAAACAAAGAAGCTGCTGGTTTTCTCAGAACAATGGACTAACCACCCCAGAGTCCAGACCCTAACATCACTGAATATGGTTGGAATTATTTGGATTGTGAGAAGCAAAAAAAAAAAAACTAAACTTTGGAGATGTGGAAAAATATTCCCACAGATTTCTTGCTTAGAAGCTGTATTAAACGCTAATAGTGGAAACACTACATACTGTTTTTTATTATTATTATTACTTTTAGGTGTTGAGGCTTCTGTGTAATTTTCTGTTAAATATATGTTTTCTGCTTTTTATGTACACATTGGTACACATTATGTATGCACATACACATTATATACGCATTGGAAAAAAAATAATGCATCATATATAAGTATACTGTATCTAATTTTACAACATGCAAATGAGAAGAAGCTGTGCTCCATTATATGAACAAAAAAAGAACAGAGTACTGCAAAGGGCACATATGATTTCATCATTTTTAAAATAAAACCATACTGAGTTATGATTCTAAACTGCTCTCTTTTTTATACTCTATAGAACATTGATGAAGTGTGTTTTTGTACTGTGAACTCAAATATCCCTTTATCTCACTCTCTGTTTCTCTCTTTTTCAGGATTTTCCCCAAACACGAAAAAGATAAATACGGGCCGGCTGTGTAAGTGGCTTAGTCTTTTTTCACTTCTTATGTATGACTATGAATCCTGCTTCTCCATTTCTGCTATAGACCTAGCTAAGTTCCTAACACCATGTTTGCTCCTCTTTTTTCAGGTACTATCCTAAGGTCCACAGCTTCATCCCCACACCCACTGATACACTCTCTGTGCAGGCAGAGTCAGAGAGTTCGGTGCAAGGCAAGCCGTCTCTGCGCAGAATCAAGGGCCGAATTCACCGCAGCAAGAGCCTGGACAGCATCGACCTGCTGGACTCCAATGTGAGTTACGGACTGCACACAGTGCAATAATATACTTGTGTGTGAGTGTGCGTGTATGTGTGTACAGTAATGTGCAAAAGTCTTATGCAGCCAAGAAAATAACTTGTTGTAGGTATGTTTTACCTTCAAAAACACCAAATAACATGTACAAATACAGATAAACATAAATTTAGTAAAACGTAACAAACAGGCGTACAGGTTTGGTTCTTGACTTCTCAGTGTGCCACAGAATGCATGTGGTAAAGGGGAATTCCACCAGTTTTTCAAAGTTTCTACATAATTGAATTGTCAGAAAGTAAACAAAAGTCATCCAGAGTGTTTTTATATGAAATGCTCTATTCCAGAGAAACTTCCCCAGTCAGAATTGTTCACAGTGGTGGTGATAGGAACCAAATGTCTGAAGCATTTAAAAGCTCACCGAAAAAGTATTACATGAATTGGTTACTGAATACTAATGAAGGATTTATAAGATAAGATGAAGCAAGTATTGGATGATCAAAGGAAATACTGGGCTTCTTTGAGGAGAGGTTTGTGAAAATGTTAGGCTAACATACTCAAACACATAAACCACAATGTATTGTTTGTTTTTAATTGTGTTTATTGTAGTATTTGTTTTATTTGTATTCATTCTTTTGAACAAATAAATTGTCATTGTCCAAAGAAAAGCAGGTATCTCTAAAATAGTAAATTTACAGGAAAGGAAAAAAACACTCTTTACCTTTTATGTAAGTGAATGTGAAGAGATTTTATTCCAAAAAATTTTGGAGCATTTCTTTTGGTCCATTCATAATGAAAGTTTCACACAATGTCAAGGACAGCTGCTGAGCTCAAATGATGTAGAAAAATAAAAAATCTTTAGATAAAAATAAAAATATTTGGTTTTTTTTTGGACAGTGACTACTACTCAGTACAGTACTGTACACCTGTGCATGTTATAGTGTTTTTTTATCTTTCAACTCTTTACAAAATCATCCTGAAACTTAACCACAAACACTATATATATATATTCATTTGCATGCACTGAGAGTAAGAGTCAATATACATATTAATACAGCATTTTATGCATATTTCATGCCAGACAATAACTATGCCTCCTATTACTTTTAAAACCATGCTACAAGCTCTCAGATCCCATCAATTATGCGCTATAAATGCTTCATGCTGTCATGCGCTCTTCCTGTAAACATTCGGAATGTCTCATGGATTGTTTATGCGGCTGTGCTTATGTTAAGCCTTACTGGCTCTGATCATACTGTGGGGCGCTTTGGATTCTGCTCCAGTGAGGTGTGTGGTGATGCCACAGAAATTGCAGTGCTCTCATTAGCTCAAAGGCCTTCTCCTCTTCTGAGAACACACTGTGGCTACATTATTATTATAATGAGCTCTGAGACGTATTTCCACAGGCCATTATTAAACAGCTATGAGTCATGTGTCACTTGTTTGGACTCCTTGGATTTTAAAATGTTTTCTTGTTGCACTAGCTGGAGATTGTGTATAGATGACCTCACTGTTCCCATGTTTGTGTTGATTAGAGTGGAATTAGATCTTAGCCCACAGTACTACCGCCTCCTATCAGTTTACAGATGTCAGTCTGAATGTGGTATAACTACATAACTATTAATAATGCTGCTTAAACAAGTTTGATTCCTCTGAGAGTTACACAGTGTGTTTAAGTACTGTCTGTGTGTACTCATGGCTACCTCTAATGTAGCCTCTTATTTTCAGACTTACGTAATGACATGCTGAGAAAGCCTGCTGTGGCTTTTGGTATCATCTTTTGTTCAAAGAGCCAAAATTTTGTCCGCTGTTAAACCGCCTTAACGGCAAGTTATACATTTAGCCGACTGCTAAATGACTGGAAATTTTTTCTGTCAATCTGATGCATATACCTCACTCTTGTTGAATGTGACAAACGAGAATGGAACGTTTTTGTGACGTACTGCTTATATTTATTCTTTAGTTTGAAAACAGGGTGGTATTTATGGAGGTATGCACAAAAATGTGCTAAAACTGGTTTCAAATCTAGTTAAAATATCTTGTTATGAGATTTTTATATAATATTATATGATTGTTTAATCTATTTCTGAACATTTTACTTGTTTTTAGTCATTTTATTTAGTAAAACAATCTTATTGTGTTGTCAGATGATTTTGCTGTAAGAACTAACGCTTAAAACCAATAAAATGATCTACCCGTAGAAAATGATCTATAATGAGATACGTTTCACTGGATAAAATGACTTAAAACATGTACAAATGTCTAGAAATAGGTTCTATTCTTACATTGGATAATTTGACAATACATAGTGATGCACAATCAGATTAGGCTTACGTTTTACAGGATAGTACTGGAAGTAAAAATTTGAAAACACGTTTTATTATTTAGTAATAGCTAAAGAAAATCAGAAAATGGAAACTGCCTCTTCAGATGAGCTAATGAGCTAACGCAAGGACTTTTCTCCTTAGTAGACGACATGCCAACATATTACGTTGTCAGAGAAATATATATTAATTGTTTCTAAACCTAACTAACATCAACTACAGTAGTTAGCCTAGTTAGTGGAAAAGCCATGCTGTCTCTTCCTTCACAGTCACATCCTTCACAATGTTTTCCTGTTCAGACACTAATGTTTCATAGAAATGTAAAATATTGCACTGTCAATAGATGCACGGGAGGCATGACTTAAATTTTGTAAATAGTGCTGATTAGTTTAAGATGTGTACAAGTATTCTTTGTGCTGTTCTGTGGGGATGTGGCTGTAGCTTGTGTGGGACTACTGTATACCATTAAGGTAATGTAGGTAAGGTGTATGGCTAGAATTGAGCACTGAGTGGTGGATCTTGCTGCTGTGTTCAGTAAAAGAGCATTCTTTAAATATGAAAAACTGTTTAGAGAAATTCCATTGGCAGATCATTTTGGCTATCATTATTTCTTGAAAGAAGAAAATTCATCTATCAATAAAAAAATAATAATAACTAACTTCTCTAACTCTAAGTTTAAAAGCTATCTTTTTTATTTTTTGGCTTGTGTTAATATTGTCTTAATGTAATCAGTAGTATTATTAATATTTTATACATCCTTCCTAAAATCATACTTTACAATAATCAGTCATTCTTGTTGATGTAAATATTAGTCTCTCTCATTTCTATCACAAGCTGAAATTTGGCACAGTTTTGCTAACTAATTAAAAGACTTTGGCTTCTGGGTGCCCATTCAGGAAATCTGTTATTGATATCGTGGAGGCACACAGGCCTCTCCTGTATAATTGACAGTCTAATGGCAGCCTTGGTTTGCTGCCAGCGTTCAGGGCTAACTTACATTTGAACAGCACTCTCCTCTCCACGTCCGTCTGCCCCAGAGAAGTGAGTATCTCCTCGTAAGTGGCCTTTAAAAGCTGCTGCTCAGCCTGGGTTTAAAAGCACTTACAGACTCAGAGCATCTCGGTGAAATAAGCCTGTGGTCCTGCACTTTAAAATGTACATATATCTGTGTGGCTTCCCCTTCCAATCCAACACGCACACACGCACACCACAACTTGCTGACAGGGCCGAATCTCAAACACAGCTGATGAGAGTAACGGGCCGGCGTACAGTGAGTGATGAGGCCGCAGCAGCGCTCGACTGAAGACTGTGTACTGCTGCCACTCGCTCTGCTGAGCCCTTCCATAGTGAGAGAGAGAGAGAGCGAAAGAGAGAGAGAGAGGGATTACAAACCACCCACTGCAGTGTGGCCTGGCCAGTTTACAACCTGCTCCGAGCATAAACACAAACCACGTATCACAAAATTTTACTGCATTGTTAGCCAGTGTTTGAAGTACTGTAGTGGAGGCACGGGCAAAAATGCAAAGGATTACATAACACAGCGGTCCCTAACCCTAGAGCTCTCAGTCTCAGAAATTGAAGGGGACGTCTATGGATTTTTCAGAATTTATACAAAATTAAATCATTATGATTTAAACAAAGTCATTCAGAGTGGTTTGTGAAATGCTACATTCTTGAGAAGCTTTCTAAGTCAGAGTAGGTGAAAGGAACCAGGCGTCTGAAGCATTTTGATGCCTCTAAAAGCTACATCACAGCAAATGATCACACGAAATAGTTACAAATGTGCTGCCTGACGTCTGAGATGTTGTTTTATGAGAAGGTTTTGACCTAAAATGTGTTTTGTAAAAGCCATTCATGGCACAGACGTGTAGTCGTATGCAATGTTTGAAATACCATTTTAAGGCAAAATGGTGCACGAAGAGATTTTATTCTCCCCAAGGAGAATTTTTTTCAGATTGATAAGCATTTTACCATAATGAAAATTACCTATAAAAACTAAAGAAATATAATAAAAAAGAAGACACATGTAGGTTCAATAGTGGGTAGTGGAACTGTGTTCTCTGAGTGATGGAGCTCCATCCAATACCATACATACTTGTGCATATAGGACCAGGGACAAGAACCAGTAACACTATGGATGTGCCTGAGTGTTACATCACATTGCACCGGTGGAGCTGCGGTTGAAGTGTTTACCGCTTGTTGCTTTCGGGCGATAATTGCCGTCTTTATTTATGTGTTTATATTATTAGGCTGTGTTGTTGATCTGAATATAAACTCTGTGTTTGGAGTTAGGTCAGGTTTTTGGCAGCTTGCCCACTCCTACTGTCATTTGGGTTGGCAAGCAGCTCTCTGGCTCATGAACAGGGTGAATCAGTTGGCTGCAGAAAGCTGCATGCTTCATCAGAAGGGTGGGAGAAGGAGTGAGGAGAGAAACTGCAGCACTGTCAAATACATCACAGGAACCTGCAGTCCATCAACCCCGCCCCCCCGTCTCTCTCTCTCTCTCTCTCTCTCTCTCTCTCTCTCTCTTTCTCTCTCTTCTTGTCTCTTTCATTACCTCCTTTTCTCTATCTCCCATTCTTTTTATCTCTCTTTCATCCCCTTGTTTCTTTTTCATTCCCTTATTCTTTCTTTTTTTCTCTCTCTCTCTCCCCTTTCCTCCCTCCAATTCTTGCTGTG